TTTGTTGCATTTGGAGTCGAATTGAAGAAGTTAGAGACCGACATCGGCACTTGAAGAGGCAATCGGGAAGAGTTTGAAAGCATTCGAGAGAGATTTGAGAGATTTGGAGGTCACCGGGAGATTCACGACGAAATGTTGATGAAGAAAGAGCATTTGGATCGACCTCGTATGCATCCGGGAGCATTTGGAGCAAGAAACAGCGAGAAACGGTCAAGGATAGGCCAGGCACGACCGTGCCTGAGCCTAGGCACGACCGTGCCTGGAGAAGAAAAGCACGGGACCTCACTGCCAGCCAGGCAAGATCGTGCCTGGCAGGGAGGCACGATCATGCCTCCACCCGAAACGCGTGCATGCTCCGCAGGCACGGTCGCAGGCACGATCGTGCCTGGCGTCGTGCCTGGCCGCGATTTGTCCTTTTTTGCCTGGGATTCATTATTTTCTATAAATAAGGCCTCCATAACTCTGTTTGAGGGTTCGGGAACTTAGAGAGAGGCTTAGGGATGAGTTTTACGTTATTTTTCCGCTACTTTGTTCAAGACCCTAAGATTCTTTGTAAGTTTCATCTTTTTAATTAATGACAATTTATTCTATTCATCCCAATTCTGTTGATTCTTCAATTATTAATTGTGAGTAGTTTAATTAGGGATTTGGGGTTAATGAAGGGGTTAATTATGATGTATGGCTAGATTCTTGATGGTTTAATTGCATGAATGCCGTTTAATTTGTGTTTGAATAATTTAATTGATATCTCTTGTAACCTAGACTGCAGCTAGAATTACAATTGCATGTAGAATGAATTAAGAGAGATCTAATTTGTTCTAGGACACATTCACACACACTTAATCGTTCGCTAAGAGATTAGTAGCGATTAAGGGGTCGTAAGCTCGCTCGTCTTGGCAATAATTTAGGATCATGTCGCATGAGAGATCAGCCTGGTCCCCTAAATTATTGTACTCTACGCCGCGAGAGCGGTAAGAACTTAGTAATGATTAGCTAGGCTCAATTAAATTAATTTCATGTAATTAGACCTGTTCTGCCAGAAATCTGGTTACCCCGGAATCAATCCTTGTTCCCTTCGTCGTTAATTAGAAAGAAACCAAGCATTTATTTTAATCGTTTTATTCGCATTAGTTTAATTTTAATTCACCAATCAATCTCGCACAATTGCATTTTATTTTATTTTATTTCTTTTTAATTGCTGAATTTAGTTAATCTTTAATTCCCCTTTGTCCATCCCTGTGGAGACGATACTCGTACTTTTCACCACTATATTACATCATTTTTAAGTGCGAGAAAACACACATCAGGTCCTCACTATTTTTCAGGTCAAAACTAGAGTTTGCTTCCTGCACCATTGTTCGGGTGGTCATCTAATGGAAGACGTGGTTCGTGCTTCTTGTTCCTGATTTCTAATAAAATGTTAGTGCTCACAGAACATTTCTAAATTTATGTTTGTAAATGTTATCTGGGCTTGCGTAGTTGCGTGACTATGCTTGCCATGTGTGTCTTAATTTTAACAAGAATAGGGTTCTTATCTTTCGCACTCGAGAAGTGCATGGCTTCAGCAACAACCATGACTCCACTATTCTGCATGGTACTCTTATCATCTTGGGACTTCGTGTAGAAAGAACATTTGTTAATGTCATACCCACTCCAGCACAACACATCAAACTTTAACCCTAGAGCAAAAAACTTCAACTTATCACAAGCACTGCTATCGTTGACAATTTTCTCTTTGAACCACTTTGTGAAAGTCTTGTTGTGTTCATTCAACAACCACTTTTCATTCATGCGGGGGTACTTGTTTCTCACAAAAGTCCTATGAGCAGATAAGTATGGCTGAACCACATCTGTATTATTCAATATATACAAATGTGCTTGAAGAACTTCAGCCCTACTCTTTGACTTGACAATCACGGTTCTTATACCTGCACCTTCACATCTACCGTCATGCCGAGACTTAGGTATCCCAACCGATGCCACATTATCCATATACTCTGTACAGAACTCAATGGCCTCTTCTGCAATATATCTCTCGACAATAGATGCTTCAGGACGATGCCGATTCTTAACATACCCTTTCAGAATTTTCATGTATCGTTCCATGGAGTACATCCACCGCAAATAGACTGGCCCGCACAATCTAATCTCTCTTACTAGATGAACGACTACATGAACCATGATGTCAAAAAAAGAAGGTGGGAAATGCATCTCTAACTGGCACAACACAACAGCAGCCTCATTCTCCAAGTCGTCTAGTTTTCTAGGGTCTATAACTTTCCTGCATATGGCGTTGAAGAATAAACAGAGCCTAGTAATGGCATTCCTAAGCTTTTCAGGTAAGATACCCCGAATAGCAATAGGAATCAGTTGTTGCATCAATACATGACAATCATGAGATTTCAAGCCAACCACTTTCAAGTCCTTCATTGAAACAAATCGCTTCACATTTGAACAATAACCTTGCGGAACTTTGACACCATGCAAACACTCACAAAATTTTATTTTCTCTTCCTTTGACAGTGTATGACTTGCAGGGGGCAAATACATTCTCTTACCCTTTGGCTGAGGAGCTAACTGTAATCGTATGCCCATATCTACAAGATCGAGACGCGATTTCAACCCATCTTTTGTCTTACTTGGGATGTTTAGAAGTGTCCCAACAATGCTATCACATACATTTTTCTCCACGTGCATCACATCAATACAATGACGTACATCCAAAGTGCTCCAGTATGGAAGATCAAAGAACACATACCTCTTCTTCCATTTATTTGTATCAACAAGCTTCTTTTTCTTTTTCCCGAAAACAACATTAATGTCTTTCACTTGTTCATAAACTTGTTTTCCTGTCAACGGTAACGGAGCGATTCCATTCTCAGTGCATCCATTAAAAACCTTCTTCATTTGGCGGTATGGATGATATCGGTTAAGGAATCTCCGATGACCAAGGTAGGCAGTCTTCTTTCCATGTACCAATTGATGGTAGCATGTGTCTTCTGCACAAATAGGGCATGCTTTATGGCCCTTGTTACTGTAACCAGATAAATTTCCATATGCCGGAAAGTCATTGATTGTGCAAAACAGCATTGCACGCATCTTAAAGTACTCCTTGCAACAACTATCGAACACGTCAACACCAACATCCCATAGCATTCTCAAATCTTCAACCAAAGGAGCTATATAAACATCTATGACATTTCCTGGTTGTTTTGGACCAGAAATCAACAATGATAACAACACATATTTGCGCTTCATGCACAACCAAGGACTCAAGTTATAAATAATCAACATAACAGGCCATGAACTATGTTGACTACTCAAGTTACCAAAAGGATTCATTCCATCTGAAGCAAGACCAAGTCTCAGGTTTCTTGGCTCATTGCCAAAGTCAGGAAATAACTTATCAATGTTCTTCCATTGCAAAGCATCAGCCGGATGGCGAATCATGCCATCGCATTTCCTTTCTTCTGCATGCCACCTCAGTTTCTTTGCATCATTTGCATTGGCAAACAATCGTTTTAGCCTCGGAATAATGGGAAGATACCATAGCACCTTTGCAGGGGAACCCTTTGTAGTCACCACATCAGAATCACATTCATCGCTCTTAACTTTATATCGTGACACTTCACAAGTAGGGCACTTGTGCAAGTCTTCATACTCTTTTCGATAGAGTATACAATCATTAGGACATGCATGTATTTTCTTGTACTCCATACCCATCGGACACAAAATCTTCTTCGCCTCGTAATTCCGGTCGGGCAATGTGTTACCTTCGGGTAGCATGTCTTTTAATAACTGGAGCAACTCAGTGAAACTTTTATCAGTCCAACCATTTGTTGCTTTGATATTGAAAAGTCTTAACACTGTTGTCAACCGTGTGAACTTAGTGCAACCCGGATACAATGGCACCTCAGCGTCAGCACACAACTTATCATATACATGCGCCCGTGCGAATGACTCAACACCGAAATCGTGTATCATGTCATCCATATGATCATATGTATCTCCACGCACTTCCTCCCTGTGTGAAGACATACTTGGCATTTCAACCGACTCACCATGCCTAATCCACTTTGTGTAGCTTTTACAAAATCCATCACAAATAAGATGCTCTCTTATAAGCTCAACATGCAGTCTTCGCAAGTTTATGCATTTAACACATGGACAATAAAATTTATTATTACTGTCAGGAAGATTTTTCTGGGCAAATTCTAGAAACTCTTGCACTCCATTTTCAAACTCAACACTAGTCCGTCTAGAATTTATCCAACTACGATCCATAATCACGGTACCTTCTGTAACATATTCAAACATATCATTTAAAACTTATATGAGATGATGACTTAAATGAAATGGATATGTCGAAAAATTACAAAAAGAACTTCATTAATAACACACAAAAAAGAATTTAAAAATATGATTAAACACATTCGTATATAACAAAGTAATACTAAATAAGGATGCAATATACTCCGTAATTAGCTACCCGAATCAGGTTTTTGACATTCAAATCACAGGTAGAATAATAGGATGCATGATTACTTTGAAGTCTTAAAAATATAGACAAGTGGTCATTATTATCCCTATTTGGTTCAAATTTAAGTCCCTGATACACAATGATACTATAATCTAACATGGGATTAGTATACGTAACTAAACAAATTGAAAAAAAAACTCCAAGTAGTTGATCCTCCCCTCATTTTACTCTACCTAATATGAAACATTTTTTCCCAGAATACCTAAAATAACCTGCCCAAAGTTAAACTGCAACATCATCAATTTTTTCTACACTAATTTGTATTTACGCTTCAATTAACCTGATATAAGTTAATGAAGCATTGTATCTAATTCTTTTCTTTTTTCCCAGAATACAAAAGTTTCATTACTTCCAATGTAATGAAGCATTGTATCTAATTCTTTGCTTATTTAGATGGAGTATTATTAGAAGATGCTTATATCTTCTGATCATTTTTTCTCTTTTTTTCTCTTGAATGTCAGAAACTTTGATATATATATCAATAACGGTTGTGGATTCAGAATATGGAGTGGATGAGTACCATGTCAAGAGCAGGTCCTTGCCTCTATCTACCCTTATTGACATTCTTAAGCAAAAAACTGGCAAGGATGACATTGATGTTGGTAAGATCAGGCCAGCTCTTTTTGATGTCTTTGGAGAAGATTCCAGTCCTAAGGTGAAGAAGTTCATGAATGTCATTCTTAATAAACTGCATTATCAAGGTGAAGAAGGGGGTGGAGGCGGTGGCTTTATGGGCATGGTTAGCGGATTGGCTGTCGATTTCCTAAAGAATAAGCTTGAGCAAAACGATGATGGTGACAGTAATTTGAAACCTGCTCTCGAGACAGAGGTGGGGAGTAAGCAAGAGGTCTATGCAAGCAGTGCTTCTGCACTCGGCCTACAAATAATTAAGGCCCATAATTTCTTAAGAAAAAGCAGTAGTATATACTAGTATGCATATTTAATAGGAATTCAAGAGCCCAACTAAAAAATAGGAGTAGTAATAAAGAAAGAACTAAAAGGTCCTTATGTACATGTATCAAAGCTCGACTGCCCAAATTTCCAACTCCCAAGCATCAAACCCACAAATCCCACAGAAAAGAAAGTGGGCTATGCAACAAATCTTCACACTTCAGAGCTTCTGGCCAAGTTTTTTCAATAAATCAAGAAACACAATCGGACCTTTAAGTTATTTTCTTAGAATCTTCTATTCTTCATCTTCATTCTTCTTAATTACTTGATCAACCGAGAAGACTGGGTGCTCGGCCAAACAGGTTAACAAACTCCTCTTTTTAGAATTTGTTTAATTTACTTGTTTTCAAAATTTATTACGAGTATGAAATTACTGCGTATCTTTGGTTCTTGATTCAACAATTCGGTATTTTCATTATTTCAATTCTTTGCAACCAGATTTTTATGCGCTTTTTAGAAAGTCGAGTTTTTCTTCGTATGATTTGAAGTGTACAAGTGTTAGAGAAGCTCGTTGCTTTGTGATATCACTGTTCTTTCAACTTTTTGTCTTTGTTGCATTATACCTTCCTCAAATATCAGGTTGTTTCATTCCTTTTTCATTGTTTGATTTTGACTGATTCCGGTTGTTTCATTTTGAAAGATTTATGTTTCATTCTGAATTTGTTGTGTTGGTGTCTTGTTCATAAGCTCATTATGCCTCTTGGAATGAAAAAATACGAATTAGGCTATGACAAGTTACAGAAGAAAAAGAAAACATGATGCATTTATTAAGTCTCAAAAAGGTGCTCTTGATAGCCATAGAGAATGATATTTTGGAGAAAGTAGACTACCAAGAGTTCGTTGACGAGTTTGCTTCCAAAAATGCTAGGAGAATAGCTCTTTTTACTTAGATGTTTGATTAGGTATAAAACTTTTTTGTATAAGCTCTTCAGCTTAATTGTAAGAATATCTACTATTTTGATACTCCAGATTATTAAGATAAAATATCAAATGTATGATAACATTTTTCAAATATTTTGTTCATGACTACTACTACGTACGGAGTATTATATAAGGCCCATTCTTTGTAATCCGCACAGGGACTTTATAGACTAGAGACGGCCCTGAAGCTAAGTGGTGTCGCCTTCATCCATTCATTCATGACGATTAAGAAGCTAAGGAAGCTGCCTTTGGCCATTCATACCACACATCATACCAACCTGCCAGGTTGCTATTTATAGACAGAACTGTCCCAAAGGACAGATGTCTGCAAATTTATGATTTGAATCCCTGAATTGGTGGGTTTAGATCCTACTCCACAGAAATGGAGGGCAAAGACAAAGACACCACATATGACATGTGAGTTTGTGTGAAGGTTAAGAGGATGAAAGGAGCCCAGAATAAGCTTTCTAATAGTTGAAATATGAAGTATTCATTCCAGAATTATGAAGTATTCAATCCCTAACAGCAGATTTAAGACATTTAGTTTCAAATTTAACAACCGAATCATGGTAAAAATAGTTGAGAAAAACAATAAGATTATACCTTAGAAAATAGGCAACTGACGAAAGTCCGCTGGCTCAAACGTAGGCCGAAGAGGAAGGTTCGCCTGCTCGAACTCTGAAAGCCGCTGGAACGCTGTCTGCTCGAAGACCTTCTGTTTTTGCTCGAACGCTTCCCAACGTCTGCTGGAACGACATCCGCCGTCCACTTGAGCGCCGTTTGCTTCCGCTCGAACGCCGTCCTCTGGCAGTTCGAACGCCGACTGCTCGGAGTCCGTCCAAAGCCCTAACTCGCTTTGGAGCGGACGGCTCTAACTTTCCCTTCTGTCTCTCAATCGCTCTTTCTTTCCTTCACGCAGATAGAAATCGGCAAGTGCAGGCGTGAAAGTTTTTTAATTCATCCAGATCGGGTAACACCGATCTAGAAGAAGAGCGATTCTTTTTTTTTTTTAATTTCTTCCGCATCGGTTTTAATCGATGTAAAATAAAGTTCCATTAATTACGAAAATTACCCCGTTTTTTTCCACATCAGTTGCAACTATAACCGATTTAGATTATTTCTTAAAATTGTAAAAAGTACCCCGTTTTGCTATTTCACATGGGTTATGACAACAATCTATGTAAAAAAGTTTATTAAAATTATAAAAATGACCCCTTGTTAGTATTCTACATGTGTTTTAAAATAACACATGTAGAAAAGGAGATGTAAAAAGTGTTATTTGTACTAGTGATAACCCACTTCTTCCGTTTCTTTCCGTTAAGTTGAAAACAAATCCAATCATTTCCGTTGCCTTTGTGGCTTTGTAACTCTTTAGGAGTTTAATCTCAACTCTAAAAACATTTATTTTGGTTATTAATAAACAATATTTTTTCCCTTTCCAATAAAAAGAATATTCTATGGGAATCAGTCAATTAGGCCGCAGGTCTCATACAGTCATACTCATCCTCTCAAACATATACGGTGCTCCAAAGGCCATTTTACAAATTGCAGGTAGGGCTCCAATATAGCACGAAATGGATTTTGACCATTATTATACCGTACGCGTAGGGTAATTGTTAGCTCTTAATGACTGAAAAGATTTAAAAAGAAAAGATTATTAGCTATTTGATAATAAAAGTTGACTGTTTGATTTAATTATATTTAGGGTTACAAGTTGTTCTGACTAAATAATGTTTAAAACTACAGACTTTTCTCAAATGTTAATCAGTGTATCCTTTCAAAAAAAGATTTTTTATTCTGATGATAAAAACTCTTAAAAATTACCCTGTCAAATATACAACTAGAAACTTTTCAAAACATTGTAAATAGTAGAAAAGCTAGAAGGTAGGACTTATTCCTACTAAACATATATGCTCGTAGTATATATTAATATTTCCGACTGATAATGGCTTTTAAACTGTACCGATAAAACTTGTACTCTGGTCTGGTCTGGTGATGTTTGACTTATGTGTATTTTATAAATATTGAAGCTCGATCTGATCTGGTCTGTTTAAGTCTGAAGTGGTCTAATTAAATTTGATCTGGTCTATTTTGGTTTGGGACTGCAATCAGTCCCAATAAAAACATTCTTATTTATCAAAAGTTATACGATTTTTGGTAGATCTTTTTCACTTTTCTTGGGCCACAATTGCTCTCGTGTTTTCTCCCGAGCTAATTAGTAAATCAAATATTAGAAAAGTGGATCCGGTCTATTTTTATATACGATGTATGACTCCTTCTCCAATATATAAGTTGGTTGTATCGTAATCACAAGAACATCAATATCGAATTGATACATAGGAATGACAATTATATTTATGGTCATCAACACTTAAACGACCTACTAAAAACTACAAGAAATGTCTAACCCAATAGTATGTTGGGTGAAAATGGATTGGGTTGTGTACTTCTCTCTTCAAGGCAACTAGACCTAAATCTAATTTGGTAGTTGAACTCTTCAGGACATATGCCTAATAAACATGCTCGTAGTATATATTAATATTTCTGGCTGATAATGGCTTTTAAACTATTCCCATAAAACATAGATCATTTTTAGGCTATTAAGATGTACTCCGTATTTAACTGGATTGTGATTTTCTGGCCTCATTTGGTTTGATCTGGTATGACCGGGTTTGTTTAGGTCTGGTCTGGACTGGTGATGTCTGCCCTATCTTATTTTATAACTATTGAAGCCTGGTATGATCAGGGTTGGTCTTAAATATGGATTGGTCTAATTAAACTTGATCTAGTCTATTTTGGTCTGGTTTGGGACTGCAATCAGTCTCAATAAAAACATCCTTATTTATCAAAAAAATTATCATACATTTTTACGATTTTGGAAGATCTTTTTCACTTTCCTTGGGCCACAATTGCTTCCATGTTTTCTCCCGAATTAATTAGCAAATCAAATATTAGAAAAGTGGACCACAATCGTTGCCATTCTAGGATGTATATCATATCATTTGGAAGAGTGAATGGTCTTGCTGGATTCAAAATTATATTGTCAATGGTATTGGGCACTATCCCACACGCGCAACGCGCGTTGAAAAACTAGTTTAGCTAATAAATCGTGTAAAATTTCTAATACCATGTTGTTGTTACATAATAGACTTAAACATACTTCTTTGTCAAAATTACACCATTTTTCATTTTTATTTTATTATTATTTTATTTATCTATTTATTACACCATATTGATTTGGGAATGATGAACATAGTTTGTTTTGTGAAGTTTGCATGTATCATGAAAAAACATCACATGCTGCCTTTTGAAAGAAGTAATTCAATTACATCTGAAACTTCTGAAATGGTTCATATTGATTTTTGGGGACCTTATAGATTGAAATCAATGATAGTTGCATCTTATATCTTAACTTTGCTTGAGTCGATGATTGTACTAGGAATACTTGGACCTATTTGATAAGAGATAAAACTGAGGTTCCCACCATTATGCATTATTTCATTGCTTATATGAAAACATGGTTTGAACAAAGGATTAAAGTGATTAGATCTGATAATGGAACTAATATAGTTCAATCAACATATACTCCTCCTTGAAACAATGCGAGCTTTAGGGTTTCAAGCAAACTTGCCTAAAACTCTTTGGGGAGAGTGTCCACTAACTGCTACACACCTGGTTAATCTCATACTAGATTCTCACCCGTGCGATGCACGGATGAAAATTTAGTAATGCGTGATTAAGAACTCTATTATAAAAACACATAAACAATTGAACCTGGAATAAGACAACATCGAAGAAGGAAAAATGTAAATATTATAAAAGAAATACAACATTTGAAAGTATAAAAGAGGTAAGCAATATAATAAGTTTCATGGTGAAACTACAAATTCCTAGAGACTTCTTTGCAACAACATTAATAGTATGATCGACTTGTTGATCATTAGTAGATAAATGACTCATGATTTGGAACAACGGATGCCCCTATATTCAAGAATTCCAATGTACACAAATCAGCTAAAAAACATGTTTTCTGCAGAAATAAAGCATAAATTCATTTATTTTCATTTTAATTTAAAGAAAAAACACAAACATTTTATTTAAAGGAACTCAACCACACTTCATCAATTTTACATTCGTAGTTATAACTAATAATTAATTATTATATTTTAATTAATTAACAATTATTAACAATTATCGATCAAAGAAACCAATGATTAAAAAATTATAAATAATTTCAAATTTTATTAAAATTAAAATATTAACACTCGAAGAATTAGGGTCCAATCCCATCCGTATATCAATTGGGCCCAAGTAAACTAACCCAACCCAAAAAAAAACTTCAACCCAAACATTAAACACCAAAACCTACGCGACCCAACCCGTTGTATATAATCCCCTTTATGCCAACCTTCCGTACATCACCATTTGGAGACTCACTGGTTAAGAGTTAGACGGATGGTCTCAACAATTTACCGAGGACTCCTTCATCTACTTCTTCCAGAAGCTCGGTTGGCTGTTAAGATGTCAATTGACCGCCTATTTACACCGTCTGTGGATTCCAAATCTCATCCGACCAAATCGAAATCAATATCGGCTGCGTTCCAGTCGTTGTTTGGTATATTATCTTTCCTAAATTTCGTCATCAAATTTTTGTTTTTTGTTGAAGTAAATATTTTATTGAACCGCACATGTGTATTTTAGAACGATATTCGTGCACTCATTTGTCCGAGCGTTCTTTTAATCTTTTTTAGCAAATGCTATTTTTTGATTTGCATAACATGTACTAATAGATATGAGCTTTTGGAAAATACGATTTTGAAACAGTTTACCCAGATCTAGAAATATGTTCATTTTGAACCGTTTGGTAGCCAGATCTGTCAAAATATCAGATTTGCGTTTGATGACCGATTAACATGCGTTTTTTATTAGATTTGTGTCATTAGAGCAAATTCTTTTTATGAACTGACAATTACGTACTAAAATCTCCAAATATTGAGATTTAAGGTGTAAATTGTCATACATGGAATTGGCTATTGACGTCAGTACGCTGTTGACAGATAATGAAACATATTCAGGTTGAAGCATGTCGCATGCCTGTTTATAGGTCCCTTTGATATGCCTATTGTAATGAAACCAATTTCCGTCCTAGCCCAATTTTATGACGGGTTATTCGCTTGTAACTGATAACTGATCAAAATACATAACAAATCCAGAGCATTAGTTGGTTTATCATGTATATTTATTACTCCCTCCGTAACATTCATATCTTCCCACTTTCCTTTTTTGGATGTAACATTTATATATTCCCATTTCTAAATCTTCCAATCATACCCTCAATAATTTAAAAATAATACACTACTACACCTACTTTTTTTTTGGATTTATCCTTCATTCCATCACATTATATATGTGATACGGAGGGAGTAGTATTTATTTATGGTGACAACTCCGGTACCCATTTAAAAAATGGGGTACCGTACCTACCATGCATTTGATTGGTCCAAATCATTAAATCCCTTTTATTTAATTTAGATTTAAATAATTCAACTGCATGATTCTGATTGGTCCACATAGACAAAGGTACGGTACCTTATGCGTACCATAGAATCTACCTTTATATAATTATATAATTTTATTAGAAACTATATATATGTTTATATATCTTTCTATATATGATAGTCTATACGTAGTATACTCCAATGAAACCCAGCTACAATCATAACATACCATATACCCCACAACCGACCTGCCCCCACACCCCTTACATACTGTTATTGTCTACTATTTATAACTATATCTACTAAACTGTATATCATAACCATTCTATATTTAATAAAGATAATGCATAATCTAATATAGAAGAACACATTTAAGATAGAGAGTACTTCTGACTATCTTAACAAAAATGTAATATAGTAGAGTACAATGTATCTATTTACATGCCATGTATATATATTGTAACATTTAGAATATAGTATAATGTTATATTTTACTAAGATATTAACTCCTAACATATATGAATCCTGAACCATCAATAAATGCAGTTTAGGGTATGTATATGCATTACTTAAAAATATTTTTCTAAATGTATACATTTTTAACCTTAGTTCTCGAGTGGTTACTTAATTGAAAATTCCCTTCATGATTTTTATAATGTTACTGTCTTATAAATGTTACTGTCTTGGATTGGGAACATCTTTTAAAACCTACTTTATTTCTAACTATGACCTTGGACTTGGCAGTTATAGTATTCCTGTGCAAGACACACTTTATATTAGATACAAGTATATACTTATATATATCTGGTACCTAGTACTTTAAGCTAATAAGTGCGTATCATCATTGTTATATCATCATTCTCATCTGTTGTTTGTTTTATGGTACAGTTCTAGCTGCGGAATCTATAAGCATTTCTTTTAGAGTTTATAAAAACGTATTCCTTAGGTTATCAGGTGCCTTCTTAAGCTGCCCATGTTTGTAACATACATTAGTTATGTAATAATTATTTAGTCGTATAAGATTAGAATAGAAATGCAGGGTCCCCTCTATGCACAGCAGAATGGCCAGGTATGATAAATACACATCCGAATTTTTATGAATTACAGGACAGTTTATTCAAACAAAGAGTAGAGTTTGAACTGCAAAAACCCGAAGACAAAGTTTGGAACATTCTCAAGTTTATCCATAACGAAAAAATTCCTTGGTGCTTAGAAAACTTTTCTTTGATTTTTTACCTAAGCATTCCCAGCTGTGGCCTTTTGACAACATGAATTTTATCACCCCGCAAAGAAATTTACATTTGTTATAAAATGCCTCAGCTGAATCTTTAAACCAAGGTTCGAAATTGCGAATTGCGTAGTCATGGCGTTTTTTTAATATTGCATATTGCGTAAGCCTCATTGCGCAATGAGGCGTATAGCTGAGGCGTAATATATACTCCCTCCGTCCCCTTTTAAATGTCCCGGAAGTGGGTGACACAGGTTTTAAGAAAAGTGAGTTTGTGTGGTTGATATTAATTGATAAAGTAAAAATAAAGTAAGAATAATTTTGAGCCACACAAACTTTACCACATAAGGTATGAGACAATTAAATAAGGACATCCCAATATGGTAAAACGGGACATTTAAAAGGGGACAGAGGGAGTATATATTATATATAATATGTATATATATATATATATAAACATAATAAAAAATAAACATATTTATTAAAAGTCATCAAATGTTATATTAAAACAAACCATAAGAGGCCAAGCAAAGTAACATGTTCAAACTTCAAAGTACCATAGAATACCAAAACATTCTAAATCATTTATCAAAACAAAAATCTAAGATATGAAAATTTAAATTAATTATATTGATTGACTGAAAATTTCAATCAATAACTACTGGTTTCAAATAGGGATCATAAGATCAATTATAAAAATTTAAAAGTGGGCCGAGTGGGCCCAAATAATACCCTTACACCTGACCTCTTATTGTGTACGCCTCAGAGCGCCTTATTGTGTATCCAATATTGCGTACGCCTCAGTGCAATATTGCGTACGTCACACTCCCAGCGCCATATGCAATGCCTTTTACGCCATAGTCCAGGAATTAGTTGAGGCACGCCATGAGGCGCAATTGCATTGCGCAATTACAAACAATGCTTTAAACCATAAATAATGGCATAATACAACCTCTTAATCAATGAACACCATTTTCAGGTAAAAAATGGGTATAATATGCTTCAGCTGCTACCACGATTTTTTTCACCCTGCAAGAAGTGAATAAAGCCATTTGTTAATGTTAGAGAACAATTATTGATTAGTAACACTGTTTAGCACAATATCTGGATAAATATCCTTGATGATTGTCTTGCCATAAACCCCGTTTTCTACCATTTTAGACCTAAACAACCGTAGCTGTGGCCTCTTTATCAAACTGTGAATTTTGTCTACCTGCAAGTACGATTGCTTTTTTAAATAAATCGGAACTCTTTTAAATACAAAAGCATGCAGTTTAAAAATATCCTTCCATACTGTATATATAAATACCTGAGATTTGATGAAAACCAACTATCCTCTGTCCTCTACTGGACTGAGATGGCATTTGATAATCTCTCGCCACCTTTACCTTGATTGTCCAAGTAGTCTTGACTTTCCATTGTGAAAGTGTATGTTGCTGTGTGTGGGATGGGAATTGAACTTACTCAAGTAGCCTATTTATACTGCATTACTTGCAAAATCTGTTCGGTTCCCTAAAAACCAACGGACAAATCTCCATGATCTGGTTTTACTACGTATTTAAAATCAGATCTCATTGCTTCATCTATTAATGCTAATGTACTTTAAAGATATTAATATATATATTGTTTGGCTCAAGAAGATATGAAAGTACACAACATTTAATGCAAATCCCTTATGTTAAGTACCACACTACTTATTGACCACACGAATTTGAATCTGGACAATAAATTGTTTTTTTTTTAAAAACTTTGAAACTGCCTTTACATTTAATGCTCTAAAAGTTGTGATAAGACAACATGTTACCACATTAAATGCATAGACCATGCGGCCCCCCAAGGGACAAAAGGGATGCATTATTAAATGGCCAAAAGGGATGCAGAGCTTATGATCTTGAATCCAAAAAGATAATGGTAAGCAAAGATGTTTTTATCAAAGATGTATTTCCTTTTAAAGAAACTCAAGCTGAAATAACACCTCATACCTTTACCATTACTCCTTTTGGATTACTCACACATAATCTCACCTCTCAATCAAACATCTCATCCTCATTCTCCAGCATACACCTCTCCAACACCACAGAACATTTCAATACAAGATGGGTCTCAAGAGCACAATTTTGAATTATCTGAATCTGATGATTCTGAGGTCCTTATACCACAAAGAAAACCAGCAAGATAATTCTACAAGGACATACCAAAATCATTGCTCTCATCTGCAAAAACAAGGATTGATAATTCTACATATCTAGTAAACATGGTTTGTTCATGAACCTACTTCCTATATAAAAGTCAAGGAAGATGAGAGACGGGTCAAATCCATGGAGCAAGAAGGGGAGGCACTTGAACGCAATCAAATCTGAAACTGACCCCCTTATTAGCAGGAAAGAAAGCTATTGGTGCTAAATGGGTATATAAGATAAAGTTCAAGCCGAATGGAACAATTGAACGTTTCCAAGCAAGGTGGGTAGCGAAGGGCAATAATCAAATTAAAGGAAAAGATTTTAAACACACATTTAGTCTTGTTGCTAAATTAACTACAGTTCGTACATTGATTGCCCTGGCAGCAGCCAAGAGATGGCTAATAGATCAATTTGACATAAATAATGCGTTTTTACATGGATTCATTGATGAGGAACTTTACATGCGAATCCCAGATGGCTATCATAATGCAGAGGCAGGACAAGTTTGTAAACTCAAAATATCATGGTATGGATCGATTAAAGCAAGATTTCAAGCAATGGAAACTTAAACACACCATTTTTTATTATTAAAATGGGGTTTCAATAGTCAAAACAAGATGGCTCATTGTTTATCAATTTTGAATAAAAATCATTCACAGAATTACTTGCATATGTGGATGATTTATTGATTATCGGAAACTCAAAGGAGCAAATAGAGAAGATAAAGGATGCCTTAGATAAAGCCTTTACCATCAAAGATCTTGGTTCACTTCGTTATTTCTTGGGGATAGAGGTAGCAAGAAATCATCAAGGTATTATTCTCAATCAAATGATCGAAGTACATTTTAGACATATTACATGACACCAAGGTGATAGTCTGCAAGCCTGTTATATCCCTATAGCTTCTGGACTAAAACTATCTGCTGATACAAGTGATCTTCTTCATGAGCCTGAACAATATAGATGATTGATTGGACGATTTCTATATCTAAACTTGACAAGACCAGGCATCTCATATACTATACAACAACTAAGTAAATTCATGAATGAACCAAGGATAAGTCATATGCAAGCAGCCTTGTTCCTTGCTCATTACCTCAAACATACCATCAACTTTGGTCCCTTCTACCCAACAAAATCCTCACTTGAGTTATATATTTGCCTTTCATATGATGCTGATTGAGGATCATGTTTAATGATAGCATGCTCATTATCAGGGTATTGTATTTTCTTAGGAAAGTCACCCATTTCCTTGAAAACAAAGAAACAAAAGACACTAAACAAATCAACTACAAAATCTGAATGTAGAGGTATGAGTTACACTACATCGGAAATTGTCTGGCTTAATGGACTGTTTATGGAATTACAACATGAGATTCCATAGCCTATTTCATTATATTGTGATAATTAATATGGCTGCTCAGCATATAGTTCAAAATTCTAGTTGTATTTCATGACAATACTAAACATCTTCAGATATATTGTCATTATCTAGAGAAAGATTTCAAGAAAGAATTTTTGAACCTTGATACATATTTTCGGGTTGTTGATATCCTTACAAAAGAATTAGGAAATCGTTGCGGGGATGCCCGAACGTACAATTTGCCTTCGGTGTCAGAGGTGGCTGCTTTGGTCGTCGGTGATTTTGATGAATCACTAGGGGAGAGAGACATATTGGTTCAAACTCAAACTGGAGCGCTTCAGAGGATTAACGAGTTGCATCCGGCATATTTTGGCCTTCAGTATCCGTTATTGTTTCCTTACGGAGAGGACGGTTATCGTGAGGATACATTGTTATCCACATCTGATGGTTCTGCCGTTGGCGGCAGGAAAAGAGTTAGTGTAAGGGAGTTTCTTGCATTCCGTCTGCAAGAACGTCATGATAGTCATTCAACTCTTCTCAAGACCAAGAGACTTTTTCAACAGTTCATTGTTGACGGCTATACTATGGTTGAGTCTGCGAGACTAAAATTTGTGAGGACGCATCAGAAACAACTCCGTAGTGAAATGTATAAGGGTCTCAGCGATGCTTTCTTACGGGGTGAAAATGATTCACGCACACAGGGGAGGAGAATTGTATTACCTCCTACTTTCACTGGAGGTGCACGATATATGATACAGAATTATCAGGATGCCATGACCATATGTAGATGGGCAGGTTATCCAGATCTATTTATTACATTTACCTGTAACCCAAGGTGGCCAGAGATTGATCGTTTTCTCCATTCGAGAGGTTTGAGACCTGAAGATCGGCCTGATATTGTCACTCGAGTTTTCAAGATTAAGTTGGACGATTTGATTCAGGATATGAGGAAAAAAAAATGTTTCGGCGTTGTAAGGGGAGGTAGGGGAGCTAACTTTAATTAATTATTCAGAATTCATAATTTAATAGATAAATACTGACAATTTGTTTTTACTTTTCAGTGGTCTACACGATAGAATTCCAGAAACGGGGATTGCCTCATGCCCATATTTTGTTGTGGCTATCTGCGGAGCATAAGTTGCCATCACCAGATGATATTGATAGGGTGATTTATGCTGAGATTCCTGATGTTAACCGTGATCCGTTGTACTATGCTGCGGTAGGGGATTTTATGATGCATGGCCCCTGCGGGGGTGCAGTTAGGTCTGCGCCTTGCATGGTTGATGGAAGGTGCACCAAATACTTCCCTAAAAAATGGTGTTCTGAGACATCAGTTGATGACGACGGTTACCCGGTTTATAAACGTGTTCGTAATAATCGTGTGATCCGCAAGAACAATGTGGATTTGGACAATAGGTTTGTTGTCCCCCACAATCGATATTTGTTGATGAAGTATGGTGCACATATGAATGTAGAGTGGTGTAACCAGTCAAGGTTGATAAAATATTTGTTCAAGTACATTAACAAGGGGCGTGATCGAGTTACAGCTGCCTTTTACAAGACTGCGAATGGTGATATGCAACACAATGCTGTTGATGAGATTCAAATGTATTATGATTGTAGATACATTTCTCCCTGCGAAGCTGCCTGGAGGGTCTATGGTTTTGAGATTCAATACAAAAACCCTCCTGTTGAGCGATTGAGCTTTCATTTGCCGAATGAGCAATCAATAGTTTTTAATGATGACCAGCCACTAGACTTGGTTGTTAATACCACGTCTGTTAGGGATAGCATGTTCACTGCATGGATGGAGGCCAATAAAACATATCCCGAGGCCAGATCATTGACGTATTCTGAGTTCCCCCAAAAATTTGTTTGGAACAAAAAAAAGAGGGAATGGACTCCTAGAAAAAAGGCATTCGCTATTGGTAGAATTTATTATGTCCATCCTGGGAGTGGTGAGTCTTATTATCTCAGGTGCCTGTTGAATCACATTCGTGGTGCAATGTGTCACGAAGATCTCCGAACTGTTGCTGGTGTGATATATGTTTCATTTCGTGAGGCGTGTTATGCCTTGGGGTTACTGGATGATGACAAGGAATTCATTGATGCTTTCAAGGAAGCAAGCTTTTTCTCATCAGGCTTTTACATGAGAATTTTATTCGTTATTCTTTTGTGGACGGAGTCAATGTCTAGACCCGAATCTGTATGGCAACATTGCTGGAGGTACATGGCGGATGACATACAACACACACGAAGACGATTGTTGCAACATCCAGGTTAAATACTATATGGACGAATTGTTTTCCTTATTTTAATATACAAATACATACATACATACATACATACATACATACATACATACATATATATATATATATATATATATGTGTGTGTGTGTGTGTGTGTGTGTGTGCACTATTTACTTTCTCAAATTTTATCATTTATTTACTACATATATTCTATCTATTTTACAGAATTGATTCTTTCTGATGAGCAATTGGAGAAATTAGCTTTGGCTGAATTAGAGAAATTGTTGCGAGGTCGTGGAAAGAGTTTGCGAGATTACCCTCCGATGCCAACGGTTACGATGGATTCACTGCTTTCTTCCAATGACAGAATGATATACGAAGAGTTGAGCTATGACCGGATCGCAATGACTGAGGAACATGCAACATTGGTCGGTTCCCTGACGGATGAGCAAATGTGTGTATATGAAACGATAATGCATTCCGTGGAAGAGGAGGTAGGAGGTGTTTTTTTTGTGTACGGGTATGGTGGGTCTGGAAAAACATTTGTTTGGAAGACGCTTTCTGCCGCCCTTAGGTCTAAGGGTAAGATCGTCCTTAATGTCGCATCGAGTGGGATTGCTTCCCTGCTGCTACCCGGTGGACGTACTGCACATTCTCGATTTGCGATTCCAATTAGTTTGAATGAAGATTCCACCTGTAATATTAAACAAGGGAGTCCTCTTGCTAGACTTATTGTACGATGCAAACTTATTATTTGGGATGAGGCTCCAATGTTACACAAATTTTGTTTTGAGGCATTGGATCGCAGCATGAGGGATATAATGCAATTTCACAAACAAAATAGCGTCACTGTGCCTTACGGTGGAAAAACTGTGGTATTCGGGGGTGACTTCCGGCAAGTGCTCCCTGTGATACCTAATGGGAGTAGACAAGATGTTGTTAATGCCACCATCAATTCCTCTTATTTGTGGTCTAATTGCACTGTTCTTCGTTTGACCAAAAACATGCGTCTGCAGAATTTGACAAGTGAGGATGAATCATACGATTTGAAGAAGTTCTCGGAGTGGATTGCGAGTATTGGTGATGGCGTTTTGGGTGAAGAAAATGATGGATTTGTGTCGATTGATATTCCAGAGGATCTATTGATTCACACTAATGCTGATCCTATAGCTGCCATTGTGGAAAGCATCTTCCCCGAGTATGTAGCATCCGCAAATGACGTTAGTTGTTTGCGTGACCGTGCAATATTGGCCCCAACACTTGCCGTAGTTGAATCTGTTAATGATTATATGATGGGTCTCAACGTTGGTGAAGTATCCAGGACATATCTTAGTTCAGACAGCGTGTCGAAAGTAGATTCTACTACCGACCTAATGGCAGAACTGCACACGCCCGAGTTCCTAAACAGTATTAAGTTGTCTGGTGTGCCGAATCACAAATTGACATTAAAGGTTGGGACCCCAGTCATGCTTCTCAGAAATATAGATCATTCAATGGGGTTGTGTAACGGCACTCGGTTGATTCTCACCAGGCTTTGCGATCATGTGCTCGAGGGGAAAATTTTGACTGGTCTAAGTTCTGGACAAAAAGTGTTGATTCCTAGATTGTCCTTAACTCCCTCAGATGCCAACTTGCCTTTCAGGTTTCAAAGGCGACAATACCCCATTATGATTTCATATGCAATGACTATAAATAAAAGTCAAGGTCAATCGTTGTCCAGGGTGGGGTTGTTGCTGAAGAAACCAGTTTTTACTCATGGACAGCTGTATGTTGCGGTTTCAAGAGTGACTAACAGGCGTGGTTTGAAAATACTTATATGCAATGAGAGTGGCACGACGACTAATTCCACTCAAAATGTTGTTTACAAAGAAGTTTTCAATAACCTCTGAAGTTGAATAGCTTTGGTTTTAACACTCCGCTTGGGTCTTTTGCATAATTGTTTTGGTTCAGATTGTTATTTAATTCCTTTGTGTAACGTTTCCTTAATCTTGAATTATGTGCTTGCAACGGTGCTATACTCTAAAGCATGATTTTAGTTATTAAAAAAACCTTTGTGTTGATGGTGTTGAAAACAATTATCACAAAGGTAATATGGGATAGAAATTCATCTACCGTGCAACGCACGGGTGAATTACTAGTTTCCTTGAAAACAAAGAAACAAAAGACACTAAACAAATCAACTACAAAATCTGAATGTAGAGGTATGAGTTACACTACATCGGAAATTGTCTGGCTTAATGGACTGTTTATGGAATTACAACATGAGATTCCATAGCCTATTTCATTATATTGTGATAATTAATATGGCTGCTCAGCATATAGTTCAAAATTCTAGTTGTATTTCATGACAATACTAAACATCTTCAGATATATTGTCATTATCTAGAGAAAGATTTCAAGAAAGAATTTTTGAACCTTGATACATATTTTCGGGTTGTTGATATCCTTACAAAAGAATTAGGAGCAAAACATCATCAGATATTCATTTCCAAGTTAGGACTTCTTTCAACAACCTAAATCTAACTTGAGGAGGGAATGTGAAGATAAGCTTGAATATTAGTTACAGACCGTTGGGATGAAGTAATCATTAGTTATTTTGTTAGAAATATTTTCTATTAACAATCTTACGGTCTTGCTCCTATATAAATACACATTAAGCCATATGAATAAAATTAGTTCATTCTTTCCATTTCTTTTACTTCTATATGCTACCGAAAATTCCACATTTATTCTAGGGAAGATAAAGAGGCTGAAGTTGCTAAACAAAAAGATGGTGCATGAGTCAACAGGAAGCAGGGTTTTGGTACCTCAAGCAGGGATGTATGAAGTGCATGCTTGAAGTAGTGTAGATTATGTAGATATCATAAACGATACCCTAGGGAATATGCTAGAACTTGAATTTTTTCTTGTTAGTTTAGAAGTTCAGATTTTAGGCCTATAGATTTTTTCTCTTCTACCACCCTCTTTCCTTTTTCGCTTCCGAAATAATTGAATTTTTTGAAATGATATGTATGTTTGTGTATCATATTTTTAGAATGATTGGTATAGTTACTACTAGAACTACAATAGAGATGAACTAAAAGATGGCTTAAGGAGAGTTGGAGCAAAGATGATGAAATCTAAGATCATGGATCGTATAGATGCTGAAGAGATTTACAATAGTGATATAATAATAGACTACAGAGAGTCTCTAGCTGGTAAACTACACTTGAGCAAGTTCGAAACGGAAAGATAGGTTGGGGTGATATTGAGCATTTAAGTTGATGTAGTTTAGTTTAGATGTCATTTGAAACAAGGTAGAATTATAGTCACTTATAAATTTATATTTTTGCAATCTAATCGTAAATTGATTCAGTCATATTGACTCTTAGGTAAATGAACACTTTATTATTGATGATCATATCTTTCTTGGATATTATCTCATAATTCTTTAGGGTCATCCAATAATAAATATTCAGAATTTAAGCTCATGTGAACAGTACGAAGACAAAGAGAAACAACTTTTGCCTTATTTTAAGGTGTTTGATGTATTATTTTCAACTATTTTGTTCTTAATGACATTTACTTTTAAAGACGATAAAGTCTCCTTTGCTAATATTTTTCATATACCACAATAAGATGTTGATTTCAGGGATTTGGAAGAAATTCATGTTGATAACGTGTTATGAAATGAAAGAAAAATTAACATTAGATTACAGAGGTTATATTAATAATACGGTTTTGGCGTTCTTGAATTGACAAATACAAGATGAAGAGAAGTTTTCTATTTGTAGAAGAAGGTGTAAACTCATTTATTCAGTGGTACTAATAAAATTTAGGGAAAAGGGGCCAATAAGCCCTCGAACTAACCAAAAAAGTGCAAATCATCCCTTATATAGGAGGTTCTGTCCGTCCGTCATCATTTGGGTAGGTTCCCGGTAGAGTTTTTTTTGATGAAATGTTTTGTACATCTTCTTCATTAAGTCTAGTTTACTCATATCAAATTACAGATAAAAATTCATTTGGGAAGGCAGTCGAATCAATTTTTGAAGATAACTGCGCAGTTACATAGTGCAGTATATTTCAGAAAATCATTTGACTGTTTTCCTCATTTTATTTTTAACTGAAATTAGGTATGAGTAAACTAGACTTAATGAAGAAAATGCTCAAAAAATTTCATCAAAATATTCCACTGGGAAACGCCTCAAATGGCGACGGCCGAACAGAACCTCCTATATAAGGGGTGATTTCTACTTTTATTTAGTTAGTTCAAGGGCTTATTTTCCCTTTAACCCTAAAATTTACTAAGCATATGATACCGGTGGGCGTAGCTTAACTGGTAGCGAGGGAGTGCAACAAGGGTTAGGTTTCGGGTTCGAATCCGAGCAACTGCGATGAGAGGTTACTATGCTGAAAAATGCATAGGGCTTCTGCAAGTACCGGATACAGAGTCTCACTCTATCTGTCAGATTGTGATTATAGTCCAATTTATATCCTCCCATCATGCTGTCCGCTCAAATTAATGTGTGATGTGTACCAGAAACAATTTTGTGTAAATAAAGATAAGGGAAAAGGTGCAAATAGGCCCATGTACTAACCAAAAAGGGTCAAATAAGCCCTTATTTAGGAGGCTCTGTCTGGCCGTCGCCATTTGGGTTAGTTCCCGGTGAAATTTTTTGATGAACTTTTTTGAGCATCTTATTCATTAAGTCTAGTTTACTCATACAAAATTTCAGCTAAAACTTCAATCGGGAAGGCATTCAAATGAATTCTTGAAAATAACTGCACACTTAGAAGCGCAGTTATCTTCAAGAATCCATTTGAATGCCTTCCCGATTGAAGTTGTAGCTGAAATTTGATATGAGTAAACTAGACTTGATGAATAAGATGCTCAAAAAAATTCATCAAAAAATTTCACCGGGAACCACCCCAAATGACGACGGCCGGACAGAACCTCCTAAATAAGGGCTTATTTGACCTTTTTTTGTTAGTACACGGGCCTATTTGCACCTTTTTCCTAAAGATAATAATGTTATCATTCAAAATACGCACAACGGCGCGATTGAAGTTTATGGTCCAAGCTGATCGCTCTCATAACATTTTATTGGTATAGTTCAACTACAAAATGCAACGTGTTCTACCGGAGTTCAATTATTCAGCCCAGATATTTAAATTACGACGGCAACTAAAAATATACAATAAATCAGCTCCAACCGCCAGCCCATATGCATATCTGTTCTGGTTTATTTTAGTAATGCTGTGCCTTTACATACGGTGGGTCACTGTATGGCTTCCCATGTTTATCTGTTTCAATTCAACAATTATGTGGAATGGTTTTTCTATCCTTTCTACACAGTTTTCCTGTATATTGTTCCTGGCAATGGGATTTCCAGTTTTCCAAGACGAACTTGAAATTATTCTTAGCTTATGTAAACTACACTTCCCAGTTCTGTAAATTACTCTTTTTCTCACTTACTTCCTTGGGTTATTAATTTATTGAGCTGAATTCAATAAGCATTTCTTGACCTTCTTTCTTTCTTTGATAAACACATAAGTTAGATTAGCCTTTTTTTCCTAAGACATGGACTCAAGTAGTGAAGCTAGTGTAGATTTTTTATCCGTTGGACCTTCATCCCTACTTGGTAGAACGATTGCTTTCAGAATATTGCTCTGCAAATCGATTTCACAACTGAGGCGTAATGTTTTCCAGTCACTGTTATTCTACTTGTCCAAGTCAAAAAATGGAGTTTCAAACTACTTGATGCCCTATATATCATGGCTTCATCCACGGAACCCACAAGCCATATTAGCAATGGTCACACTCTTGGCTTTCCTGTTGAAACG